CCTCGATGATTTTTAATACTTCTTCATTTAAATCATCACATTGTTCATTTAAAGGACATGCAATTATTTGATTGGAGTAGTTTTGAATATTTTCTGGATTTATTGAGTTGCCATAAACAATTGCACAATCAGAGAGAACAAAGTTATCTGGAATGTCAATTCCCGGTGTTGTCCTATTGCTCTCTAAGGTTCCATTACCTAAGCGTAGAAGCCAATCACAAAATGCTGTTTCATTTTCATTTGCATGCATGTTTACTTTCAAATGTACTATAGTTACATACAGTACTTATACATACTACCTTTGACTATTAATACAACTTCTGTAGCCAATAGTCAATGATATTACCATATGCTTTAAATAAAGTTAAACCACATGTTTTAAAGTAAACAAAGCAGACATGACCTAGATTCCCATGCTATTTAAATGTTGAATTATTTTATTCTGTAATAACCTTTTGGTGCATAATTAAGAAAAATGAATATTTTTCCCCAAAATTTCATGCCCAGACCTTTAAAATGAGACCTCTCCCAGCTTTCTACGGCCTCCAGTTCGCTCACAATTTCATTGTAAAATTTTGGGCTTACGGAATTAGATATATAGATTATGTCACTTTTACAAAATTATTATTCTACTATTGACTGTCTTTGTGGTATTACTGTAATCCAGCTACGTACTTGGAGGTCACAAATTGTGGATATTTATAGACATGATCTGTGGATGCGATACTCCCTGGTGTGGATTAACATGCGCACTAGTGAGTACTTCGACTGTCCGAAGTGTTATCCTGATAATTAGACTAATTCATAAATTGCAAGGCAAAAAATTGGTTCGGATTCCACTGTAAAATCTAGGTCCCTTAGTTGTCATTGGCTGTATGGGCTAATAATTAACAGTCCTGTATAAGGAACATGTTGACCTTAGTCACTAACAAAACTAAAAGATCGCGTCACTCATCCAAACTCATCTCCAATCATTCTTGGCTTAAAATGTCTGCTTTCATGTGGTCGCCATTTCATTTTAATTCTAGATTGAATGGTTATCAAGTCGGTGGAACTTGTCAATTCATAATCGTGACAAATTTTAAGTAATTTTCTTAACATCATCATGGTTAGTCTATGGCATGATGGAGTAGAAATTAATAGAGGGGTATCACATATTTTTTTAGGTTTAAGTAGATCTACTTTTCCATACGGTTCACATAATACAACACTTAATTTTACCATAGACAAATAGAATTGATACGGATAAAATCATAAACTGTATATATTTACTTCTATGCATGTCTTTTCCTTGATACCACTCGCACCACCTTGAAACCACTAATGTCATGCCACCTCTTTGTATATTTATGTGATACGGTGACGTTTTGTCGTCATGTTACCCCCGAGTGAGGTCGGAAGCGGAATCACTAGCGGATGGACGATCTGTCATGGACGTCACGGAACAGAACCGAGCTGTAGTGGCGTCATTCATGTCAATTAACTACACTGTAGACCGCATTCCACCAAACAAATATATTCACTCAGAATTTACTATTAAATACTAAGCATAAAATCTTTTTCCGCAGATAGCCATAAGCGGTCGTTTTTATTGTTAAGTTAAGAACTATAGCCTAGTTATCTATATGTAATATTATTACTTAATCGTTTAGTATTGTGATGTGACATCGGCCACTCGTCACTCTCTTATCAGAGACTAGTTGCCCAACACCGTCAAGTTTAATCTTAGCCGTACAATAAGTGTGACTTCAGCGAAGAGACAAATTAAAACTATGACAAAGGCAGTTGTCATAAAACATCTAGAGTGACGAAATCCTGAAACATCAAACAAAATAACCGATGTTCTTGTTGTATGTTATTGTCAATGATATAACATTGATATGTCTTTTCGTCGATATACCTTTATTAACACGAGTAAACTTAATGAACAGGCGTTTTTTTTTCCTTTTTGAGTTTTTTTTTTAATATATCGCATGACTAGTGGATTTGAAACATCTTATTGAAATTAATCGTTAGTATAAAGGGTGATTTTATCCCTCCTAATATTAATAAATCGACTATTTCCCCCCGAATAAATTCATCCAATTTGGGTAGATTTATAAATTGGCGTAAAACTTTAATCTCCTTGCACTTTCCGAGGTTTTTATTTTTTCCTGTTATCATTTTAAAACAAATTAGGTATTTGAATATACTGAAATGAAAATCAAACTTACCCCTGAGAACCCTTGGGGTTCCTACTAGAGATTATCACTTTTACCAGTTTAGGGAGACGGAAGTGAAGTAAGTAATGAATTGGCAGGCTAAGGAGCGTAACTTGCACCTTCCCCCGTAGTCTACTCGGATGACCTCCCGTGGTTTCATCACTGATCTCTCGGTGACGCAATCGATTGCACCGAGCGACAGCGGATTCGCAAGATTCCAGTTGGACGCGCAGCTCATTTTGTTGGTGTATTGTGTGTTCACGGTCGGACGAGGTCCCTCCCTTCCGGCGCCGCGCCGCGCCCGTCACTCCATCAGCGCGGCGCAGTCGCTGTCGTGTAGTGTTCCGTACAGTATCACCAATCACCACTACCACAGGTGATTACATGCATCTCTTGTAATATATCGTCAAGTAGCACCAATCACCACGGCAATCGGGTGATAGACTGCACTTTGCACCTTTCTATGTCTTGTAGAGTATCGTACAGTAACACCAATCACCACGACCATGGGGTGAGGGGCTGCACCTCGCACCTTACTGTGTCTTGTAGAGTAGCGCACAGTAGCACCAATCACCACGTCCATCGGGTGATAGGCTGCACCTCGCACTTTACTATGTCTTGTAGAGTAGCGCACAGTAGCACCAATCACCACGACCATCGGGTGAAAGGCTGCACCTCGCACCTTACTATGTCTTGTAGAGTAGCGCACAGTAGCACCAATCACCACGACCATCGAGTGATAGGCTGCACCTCGCACTTTACTATGTCTTGTAGAGTAGCGCACAGTAGCACCAATCACCACGTCCATCGGGTGATAGGCTGCACCTCGCACTTTACTATGTCTTGTAGAGTAGCGCACAGTAGCACCAATCACCACGACCATCGGGTGAAAGGCTGCACCTCGCACCTTACTATGTCTTGTAGAGTAGCGCACAGTAGCACCAATCACCACGACCATCGGGTGAAAGGCTGCACCTCGCACCTTACTATGTCTTGTAGAGTAGCGCACAGTAGCACCAATCACCACGACCATCGGGTGAAAGGCTGCACCTCGCACTTTACTATGTCTTGTAGAGTAGCGCACAGTAGCACCAATCACCACGACCATCGGGTGAAAGGCTGCACCTCGCACTTTACTATGTCTTGTAGAGTAGCGCACAGTAGCACTAATCACCACGACTATCAGGTGATAGGCTGCACCTCGCACCTTACTATGCCTTGTAGAGTAGCGCACAGTAGCACTAATCACCACGACCATCGGTTGAAAGGCTGCACCTCGCACTTAACTATGTCTTGTAGAGTAGCGCACAGTAGCACTAATCACCACGACCATCGGGTGAAAGGCTGCACCTCGCACTTTACTATGTCTTGTAGAGTAGCGCACAGTAGCACCAATCACCACGACCATCGGGTGAAAGGCTGCACCTCGCACTTTACTATGTCTTGTAGAGTAGCGCACAGTAGCACTAATCACCACGACCATCGGGTGAAAGGCTGCACCTCGCACTTTACTATGTCTTGTAGAGTAGCGCACAGTAGCACTAATCACCACGACCATCGGTTGAAAGGCTGCACCTCGCACTTTACTATGTCTTGTAGAGTAGCGCACAGTAGCACCAATCACCACGACCATCGGGTGAAAGGCTGCACCTCGCACTTTACTATGTCTTGTAGAGTAGCGCACAGTAGCACTAATCACCACGACCATCGGGTGAAAGGCTGCACCTCGCACTTTACTATGTCTTGTAGAGTAGCGCACAGTAGCACTAATCACCACGACCATCGGTTGAAAGGCTGCACCTCGCACTTTACTATGTCTTGTAGAGTAGCGCACAGTAGCACTAATCACCACGACCATCGGGTGAAAGGCTGCACCTCGCACCTTACTATGTCTTGTAGAGTAGCGCACAGTAGCACTAATCACCACGACCATCGGGTGAAAGGCTGCACCTCGCACCTTACTATGTCTTGTAGAGTAGCGCACAGTAGCACTAATCACCACGACCATCGGGTGAAAGGCTGCACCTCGCACTTTACTATGTCTTGTAGAGTAGCGCACAGTAGCACTAATCACCACGACCATCGGGTGAAAGGCTGCACCTCGCACCTTACTATGTCTTGTAGAGTAGCGCACAGTAGCACTAATCACCACGACCATCGGGTGAAAGGCTGCACCTCGCACTTTACTATGTCTTGTAGAGTAGCGCACAGTAGCACTAATCACCACGACCATCGGGTGAAAGGCTGCACCTCGCACTTTACTATGTCTTGTAGAGTAGCGCACAGTAGCACTAATCACCACGACTATCAGGTGATAGGCTGCACCTCGCACCTTACTATGTTTTGTTACATTTTCAAATAATAAGTAAATTAGTTCAGTTGAATCAAACTCAACTTTAATGTAAACAGAAAAACTAATACAAACAAAACAAATGCAAAATGACAGGTGATCATTAACTCACATACACATATGGTTTTAAGTCAGTACATCAGTTAAACACATCAATTCTCCCCTCTGATTTATAAGTAATTGTTCAACATGACGCCTCAAGACAAAATCGATCAATATGATTTTTGCTTTGATATTAAAATAACTCCACAAAATTGATCGTGTTTTTCGTTAAGAGTACACACTGAAGTATTATAAATTAAAATGTCCTTTAGAAGTTGATGAATGTATCGTGACCAGAGAGGGCAATATTTATGTTCTCTGCTTGCTGATTATGACCTATAGTGAAAATATCTTCTGAAATAGTGTAATGGCACAGTGAATATACAAGGTTTGTGTTTTGGTTGCAGGAGAAGCGTCTAGCAGCTCCACCCCGAGTACCCCAGTGCCTGCCTCTCCCCTCGCCACCCCGGGGGACACGCAGGACCCCTCAGGGGCACAAGGTAATACACACCAATTAATAAACATATAAATAACCGGCGTTAAAAAATAACACGTTACTATCTAAAAACAATTAGAAATTTATCATTAAGAAAATACATTAGAAAATAGTCCAACAACCGTGCATTTGAGAATGTGTACAACGATCAAATATACATAGTTTTGTGAGCAAAAACGTGTTTTGAAGTGGTATGGGTTTCGTTTCGTAATTGAATAAAGCCAAAACAAACAAACATAATCAAGTTTGGATCATATAAAAAATGAATGAATTAATGTAAAATAACATAAGTTTTAAAGTATCTTTTACCTGTATGTTTTAAAAGTTTAATTCGAAATACAGTGACGTTTATGTATGTTACGGAAGGCATAAAATCTAAAAGCACAATTCACGTTCAAGTAAAATCTAGAATTTTTTAATTGTCACTTTACACATGTTTTCATAGATCAAAAATAAGCATACCTATTTTTAACCATTAACAGGATTTTTTTATAACATATACTGACAGAGGGTTTTTAAGTAGAGCGTACTATGACATCAGTAGTTCTGTTCACGTGCTGATTTAATACAACCTATAATAACCCATGTCTGTCAGAAAACACTTTTATGCAAAGCAAATATGTTTATTAATAGTTCATACAGATTTCAGGGTTAGAAACGTCATGGCGTTTTGACAATGATACAAAATCACTACGAAACATATGATTATAAATTAATGCAGTTCCCTATTATCAGTTTGGAGTTATTCTCGTCATATTTCATATTTTAGTTTACATACTTTTGTAAATGCTATCTTACTTTCAGGAATAGAAATGCTAACATATAATAAAACATCCACGTATTACAGTGGATCATTTTTTTATATTAATTTTCTCTATACAAACGTACAGTTCAAAGTCCGGGTTATTTAGAAATGTGTCAAACTCATTGGTTTTTTTTACTAAGGGAGTATGTTTTATCTATGGTTTTACCAACCGTTTATTCTTTGGAACAGTTGATTAATTTAATGCGATAATTGTTTCTTTAGTGTATGTTCGTGGGATATGGAACTCAGTTAAAAAGACAAAGCAGCAAAATAAAAACAACGAGAGAAAGCCAGAGAAAGTTAATGAAATGTGTTTAGAAGAGACAGTATCGAAAACAACAGCAAGTAAAGCAAGAAGATTGAGGAAGTTGAAACTGAAGAGTGCAAGACAAGCTGAGCAGTCCAGCAAGGAAAGCAGATCGACGGAAATACAGGATATACAAGAAACTGAAATAAACACGGAGGAAGAGAAAAACGTCAACAACGAGCTTATAGAAATCACCATAGAAGAGACGGTGCTTACTGCACCTAATGTCACAGAGGGTAAAAGTCATTCCGATAACTTGGGGTCTGCCAAAGTAGGGGATGGCAATGGCATTCCTCAATCCACCAATGATGCAAATGATTTGGAAAAAACATGCATTAGTAAAACAAAAAACAAAGGGAAAACAAAAGGTTTTAAACTATCTAAAATATTTGTAACTAACACAGAACAAAACTCAAGCAACAACAATAAATCGGGACCTGAAACAGCCGTGGCGTGTAACGATGCTGATCAAGAAATAGTCAATGCAAAAACAAGGAACTATGTGAATGAAAACGCAACTTCTAGTGGTGATATTGAAATACTGAGGGTAAAAATTGATGACGTGTCGAATGTTGCTCACTCTGAGACTACTAATAGTCAATGTCTAGAACAAACAGTAGTAGATTCGTCGGATTCCCATATAAATACCGACCTAAAAAATAGTGAGAAAATACAAGATATCAACGCATTAATTAAACTGACGTCATCTGAATTTGGTGACAAGATAGTAAATTCCAGTAAGATAACTGAAGCAACCACTGTTCTGGATACGTCAAATCAAACTGATAGTTCTCAAATTGACGTGCCATCAAAAATAGAAATAATTGATATAGTTGAATACTCTAGTCATAGTGAAGATGAGTTTAAGTCACAAAATAACAAGGAACAAAAAAGTAGACCAATATCTATATTTGTAGTACCACCTGATAACATAGCTCAAGAAGCTGAATCCATTGAAATAGATTGGGAGTCGGTATCCGATTTTGAAGGACGATCTCTAACTATATCTTCTGACGACGATGACGTGCGACCAGAAACTCTAATTCATCTGCCTTCTAATGACATGGAATCATCTGCTGCGTTGAAAGACGGCAGGAACGGGATAGTTCAAGTTCACGACTATGAACTCTCTGTTCAAGACCTGTATAGCCGATTCATGGAACCTGAAGAAGAGGCTCGTTTAAGAACATTTCTTGAAACTCTTAATTTATCCAAACCTGATGAATATGATGAAACCTCGTCTTCTAGATCATTTGGAGATTCTAGCTCGAACACATCTATGTCTGAAAACTCGCCTATTCCACAAACTCCTGCTGATGAAGTCGTTATATATCGGCACTTGAAAACTCATAGCGTAGCAGAATCTTGTTATATTCCTCCAAAACGTCGACATTTCTTAGACGTGATTACAGAAGAAAACAGTGACCCGAGTGACACAGAGAAGAGGAGTGGAAATATAAATCCATGGGAAAATCCAGAACTAATAAGAAAAAATAATGAAATAGAATCCATTCCGAACGATTGGTATGACTCTGATGATGAGCCCGAAATTACTTCTGATGATGGAGGTATAGACACATCGTGGGGTGAGGGTAAGCAACTTGATGACGTTGAGGGTGTAGAAGTAGTATTTCTCAACAGTAGTAGTGATGATGAGATGGTTCTAAGGAAAACATTCGAAGAAAAGTTAGACAACAAACAGGACAACAAAAATAAAGCGGAGCTCGTCATTGTTCATATTGGCAACACTGAAGATGTGAAGAAGCTTACAGATGTAAGTCCTTGTTTGGATTCAAATAAAATAACTAGTTCAAAACACGCTATGGAAGAAATCATGGCAATTTTAGACAGTACGTACGAAATAAACAAAGATCTTTTCAATAACCCTTTAGTTATGAATGCCACCTGTAATGAAACCAAAATAATTAAATTCGACAAATCAACATTAGAGGACACGTCAAAATGTACTTCAAATTTAGGATGCAACCATGAGATAAAATCTGAAAATAAAGAAACTAAGCGAAATGTAATGAACCTTGATTCTAAATATGCATTGCCAGAACGTTCCCAAACGGAAAAATTAAATGGCGAAACACATTCAACTGGAAATCAAAATTTAGAAGCCGGTTTTACTGAATTTCCGTTGCCTGAAGAATCTTCAGTGGTGTTCACTCCACCGATGTTATCGAGACAGAACTCCTCTAGTAGTGCGACATCACAAAGCACCGCAAAGTTCAATGCCAACCAATCGCCACTGTCTTCTGAAGCTGAGGATAAGACGGATAACCAAATCAATAGGAAAATTAAGTCCAAGAAGAAAGTATACAATCCTAAGACTTTAACACATTTATCTAAAGAGATTATTACCAATCTTCCACATGGGGAGTTTTATCTTCAGAAAATTGGTTTCTGTAATGACGATATTACTGAAACCGATGTTAAGGAGAGTAGCAGGGTAACTATCAGTAATGAAAAGCTAACATCCTTACCTCCTTCGGGAATTTCAACAAGACGGTCATCTTTTTATGAATTGGAAAACATAACCCATCAACAAAGCTATAAAACCCCGTATACAGAAGAAGATTTTTCTCCTCGACCTGTTCTTTTACAGTCCCCACCTCCTTCAACTCTTACTTCCCCACCACTGAACGACGACCCGTGGCTGGGACTGCCGACATCTGCAGATCGTAGACTCCTAGTCTGTTTATCTCCCTCTCAGTGTAAGGACAATCACATAAATAATCCAAAAGAAGCTACAGAGTTATTGGAATTGCATAAAAAGTTTGTAGAAAGACGAGGATATCACGAGTCCTCTAAGAGAAGTTCTACATTTTCACCCAAGAGCGATAGAAGTCACTCTCCTGGTTTTAATTCACCCGATCTAATTAGACTGGAGCCATACAAATCCAATAGTGCGCAAGGATACACACCAGAACTATTGATAGAAGCTGCTAATTTATTAGCGCTAAAAGAATATCGACAAAGTAGACTGAAAAGTGGGCCACAATCGAACTCTTTTAAAACGCCAGAACTCACTAGTGTTAAAATTAACGGTAACGTTTTAGAGAAAAACGGCGGCTTAAGTGAGGTGACGTCACCACAGACGGAAATAAACGGAGATTCAGAAGACCCCGATGCGAATAGATCAGCTGGCACTTCAAGACTCCTGGCTCTACTCCAAGACGGCGCACCGTGTTGCTCGCCCAATAACACTGCTTCGTCTGAAATGGTCCGCGTTGATAAAAGTGACGACACTAAAGCCAAACGTGTGCATCGGTACTCCGGGAGTTACATATCCGAGTGGTTGAAAATGTCTGAAAACGTAAATTCTCTTTCAGAAATCTCTTCAAAGACTGATATCAACGAAAATGTTATACACGCGAAAAGTGCGAATGAATCATCCAACGAATCATTGACTTTAAACGGGTTCGATAAATCATCCGTTGAACCGAGGCAGTTTAAAGCCGACAAATATAAGATCTCAAAAAAGGGTGACATCGCTATTATGCCAGAGGAGAATGAGGTGAAACCACCGAAAAAGAGCGACAGGCCGAAATCCATGCCACCAGTTGGAGTGCCGGCTCTGAGTCCGTCAGGCGGGGAACAGTTTCGTGAACAAATGTACAACGAATATATGAATAAGGTCGCCGAGCGGTTCGAGAGAAGACAGCAGAAAGTGATCAAGATATCGAATCGACCGCTTTCAATGTGCGGAAACCCCGAAACAGAAGTTGAAAAGAACGCCCAGATCGCTCCGACGAACAAATTAGAGTCGGAATTCCTCAGCAAAGTCCGCGAACGTATGAGCAAGCTGGGAATCAACTTGGACGAAGACCCGAGCGGCGGAGAGGGTGGCGAGAACGCCGACGACGCTGAAGAACTGCCCAAGCATCTGCAAGAGTTCATGGAGCTGACGTCACAGACCCCTGATGCGCCGGACACCGGTGAGTCGCACGTCCGTGTGTTTGTCATAACTCCGATGCTGTGGTTGCCACTAACTCTGTAGACGTGTTGTGGTTGTGTGCCAAGTAACTGTGATGTAGATTGTAGCTATCCATTGACAAAACTTGGGGACAATACCGATAACATATTGAGTATGTCAACACTAACAATGCTCAGAAGATTGTGACATGTGATGATAAGACAATTGTGTGAATACTGAAACATTCTTTGCTCATTTATTCAGACTGTACTGTTATTTTTATAATTATAGAGATTTTTTAATTTGAAACTATGGTACAATTATTGCATTGTTTTATTTACTACCACAACAAATATGAGATGAACACGACTCGGTAGATTTCTTATTTCACTCCTATAGGGGTTCAGGTACTGATTTAGACGTGTGATTTAGAAAAAAGATTTAAGAACGAATATAATGCGTTAAATATTGTGGTCATGCAATCTTTATACTTATCTATATGCTTACTCATAAAAATACTTGTCTGTCCATTTTCTTTCTTTTCGAATCTTTGAATAGCATCGTCAAAAGTAACAATGAAAAGGTTAAACCAATTTTCTTTATGAAATTGCAAAATTAAAGATTTTTGTTCTTAATCTACCTGGTCTTCATTAACTCTCGTCACCTATTTGTGACAAGGTTATCTGATAATTAACTTCCCTCGGTATGAAACTGATATGAGTAATTTGGTAAACTGATTCTTCATGCATTAAATAGAAAAACTAAGTAGTTTTTATTCTGATTTGACTTTTGTGCTCCGCCCCAGTGGCCAGGAGTTTCCCACGTAAACCTTGTGAGTATTCTAAAAGTAATTAATAGATCTAAACAGCTGTTTTTATTAAACACGTTGGTTCTATGATGTTCAATAGTATTATAAAGTTACAATGTTTACCAACAGGGTGCAGCACTATTAGTTTTTGTTTGGGTTTTTTGACAACAGCAAATTTGAACCAAACTAAGCAGCAACAAAAAGCTGTGATCCACAATGAGAAATAACTGTCAAAGTGGGATTGTTTATGTTTTTAGTTTTAAAGATAATTTGTGATATGTACACATGGTGTTTATTTTTTTTTTATTTTTAAGTACCTATATAATTAATTCATTATTTACAAAAATTCATTGTTGTAGCCCCGGAACTGTAATATATAAAATGTTTGGTTTTACATTACCTTTTATCAGTTCCAAAAAACCGTTATTTTCCCCAAAAATAATGCCTGGTAAAAAGGAGTAGCCTGTTAATACTTTTAGTGAATTACTGATCAATTCAATGACTTGGATGGAAGGGACTAATATTATAGATGTGAATGATTGCAGTAAGTCAATTTCGTGAAAACTATTTGACCAATTGAGCATGTTAGTTCCATTAATAGAGTTATTCACAAGTTCAAGATTGGGGTGGGTTGGGTGGTCTGGTCACGGATGTAGCTTAAGTAATAACGGTTAAAGTTAAGTAAACCTTTTTATCGACTACAGAATGTATGCAAGTATGCAATGTTTTGAAATAAAAGATATTTAGTAGAATTAATGTATTTTATTGGAGATTTTCGAAATGCGTGAGTATATTACAGTATCTACAATGTTTTCACTGCGAACATCGTAAATACTGTCACAGAAAACATACTACTATAACCATATAGTTATAGTAGTATGTTTTCTGTGATACTGTAGACCTGCATTTAGGGCCTTTCAGGGTTATGAGAACCACTAGAAATCATCGGGCCATTTGCCAGCGCTATTCAAAAGAAACTAATTAGGAGTTTTTAAGGATAACCACAGACTGCAGGACTTAAAACTTCCAGAGCAAAGCTGGAATTTATATTTTGTTTCAATCTGTTAACTAAGTCTGGTTCATAATGAAGAGTTTCCTATCAATACTAGACAACAAAGTGTTTAAGAATAAATATTTAATAAATATAAAAGTGATTATTCACAGGGCAGTTATCCGTTACATTACCATATTATCATGTAATTTACAATGTGTATCAAAATTCCAACTCCTTTATAGTGTTTTCTGTTGTTTCTTTCTTATTTCATTTCAATTTAAAATCAAATGCCGCCAGTACGACGAAAAACTGTGAGTGGCTGGGAGGAACGCAAACGTGACCGCTTGCATCAAGCTCCCAATTTGATGGGTACATAGTGGTAGTACCACCGTTGTGATAGTCCAATCTCGGACAAATGAACGCTTACATATTTTTAAGCAAGAAAAGACTGACCGGTAGATAAGTTTGTACTCTTTGTTGCCATAAATGAAAGGTTCGTTTACCTCATTTGTGCAATTCACCACAATAAACTTCGGGTTCTTATTGGAAACACTCAATTTGAAAATAGGACTGTGATACTTAAATCCACAAATTATTTGGATAAACTTCGTCAATTCAGTTCTGCCTTTGCCATTGTCAGCTCCAAAGCTCATTAAGATGAGAAAGTTCCACAGGGGATCTACAATTTTAAGATCCGTGCCACGTTTTACCACCGAGTGGGATCTCTAATTCCTCAAGAAGGTGATGATACTGAATACGCACACATATATAAGTAAGTACGACAATGTCACTAGAACCCAAATGAGAACTAAGCACAATACAAAAAAATTCAATGAAAAAATATGCAGGAAATAGGGTTACAATGCCAACCCAATTGCAAATCTTTGAAGACTGTGGCAGACATTATGTAGGGACGAGAGCTCCGAGGATTCATGTGAGATTCTTATGTACATAATAAGAGACAGAAGAAGTGTCTTTCCTCGCTACGATGGTGCTACCTATGTAGATTTCGCAGCAATCTTTAAAGCTGAAAACAAAGCACCACCTGGCCAAATAAATTGTATAGTTTTTTCCAACACTAATAATGTTAAACGCGTATCCATTATAGATCTGTCGTTAGATCCACTTGCTTACCCTCTTATGTGCCCAACCGGAGACTTGGGTCGGGGCCCCTAATTTAAATACGCCTAAAACAGAACACATCAAAGAAATAATTTAACAATGCTAGAATAAGAGTAGCGATGGTTGGCGTCAAGAGAGGGATTTGGCTTGCTACATTAGGTCAAAAGCTCACTTTACAGTTTGTAGTTGACATCTACGTGCTCATAGAGTGCACCCGCCTACTATACATAAGAGATAACCAAAGCAGAGTGAATGTATGAGAGTGAATGTAAATTTAAATATTGTAGATTGCTTTTATATTTTTTTTACATCATAATATTTTTATATTTCTATAATCAGTCATATTAATTATTTTAGAGCGATTCTTTGATTAAGGTCTTGCTGTTTATGTTTTATGTTTATTTTCTTTATACAAGTTTCAGTTTTGCTCGATTTCGAGCAACAGGTTATCTAGTAAAATAATAAATGCATAAAAGAACATCATGTCACATGAATAAAGGTTCCTATGTTACTGAAAGATTTGTAACACTTTTCAATCAAGTAAAAAGAGAACTAACTGCACTACTGGCAAATTCAGTTCAAGGGTAGGACTATAATTATTATAAGTGAAAGGGGATACCGCGGTAATAGTATTTTGGTGAAAAACATTATTTAGGTTATTCCAGGAAGTGTAATTTTAAGCTCCTAGTAAAAGGACAGTTTGACTTAAATTCAGCTAGCAATGTTATACTGATAAGTGATGATTTCCCACACCTGTTTAATAGACAGATTTATACAAAGAGAGATAAAAACTCCAAAAGCACAAAAGGGCAGTAAACGATGGGCGCGGTTGACCTGTTTCCCTACATTATCCACATCCACGCCCCATACACTACTCTACGCACTTGTACGCTCCTACACTGCACGGCGTAGTTCATCTCATACTGATATAGTATAAATCATCTACTAGATAACATATCAACCATCCGTCTAAGATCAACAATACTCACACACCTCAGTGTAGATTATATTGATATACTGTACTTGTACTTGACCTCTACCTATACGGTAGGACTATTGTTGACCTCATACTGATTCTGTTATACGATATTGTCTACCTAAGCTGCAATTTGCAGTATTGTTCATCATACTTGACAACAAAATTGAATTTGACGTCTGATTCCTCTATATAAATTAATAACACTGAATAAATAAAAGGATGAATTGCGTAAGTTGATTGACTGTTTTGTAAAAAAAGAACAAAGCCTAAAAAAATTAATCATATGGAAATCGAAGTTGTTTTGCTTTTACTACGTTTATTTAGTTGATTCGAACACCATGTGCGTTTTATGACAAATACGTACCACGGTACAAATTAGAATTTTATAGGTCCCAATGTGTAATCAGGATCAGCAATCGGCGTTGACGCATAGGTTTAATATGGGAGATGTTTGCGTAACTTACGACAACAGAAGCAGCGCGGGCCGTAAACGAGTCAACAACTTAGACCAGAATATGGACCAGAATAGGGTCACAAAGAAGGAAATGGCTTGCTTTGATACATCGAGATGTGGTGAGTGGACTCGTGTGGATGTGACATAAGGGTCTGCTGCAATATTGTGTGAGCGTCTATTAGAGGGTTGGTACTAAAATATTAATTAATTTAACGCAAAAAGAACAACTACACACCTAGAGGCTATAATTTACCTTCTATATTTTGAATAGACGGTTAATATTATAATACAGTCAAACGATATATAACGCTTGTCTGAGATTATAATGCTGAACCTGTGAATGATAAGAATGTTCCTGTTTAGAACTCAACTCCCGTAGATTTAACACAATTATTTGGCTTATTCAGCCGACGCGTGACGTGTTGAGTTCCAGGGTCAGGAGGTAGTTGCGTTCAATTGGGCACATGATCAACTGCCAATGAATAGGGTGGATCTTTACAACCATATCGAACCAGGGGCTGGAAACTTATTAAACTCTATCGGCGCTCCTTCATTGCTACTCGTTACCCTCCGTACGTGAGAATGAAAAACGAGCTTTCCGTCTCCGTCTATACCTGAGAAGATTTACGCGGGTTTGGCAGGTCGGCAGACGACGCGCGCGATGG